AATAAACTTTTATAGCAAAAAAAAATGCATCACTTCTAATTGACATGTGTCAAGTATCACGTGCCACCTCCCTAAAATCAGCTATTTAGGTTTCCTACAGATTCGTTTTAAAAAACATTACTTGCATTTGATAACGTGCTTCAGAGGGTCTCTTAGTTATACAACTATTGGTTGTTGGGTAAGTATTGCTGGTGGAATCTCTATGGTACTTTTTTGCAAGTTCAATGATTTTGAACGACTAGAGCAGGCAAATAATAAAAATAAAATTTAGGCTTTTATCTTGCGAACTTAATTACTAGTTCACTATACAAATAACCCAAACGTCTAGCCTAATCGCGTTTTGAATTTGAAAGACCTCCAAGATAACGTACACATTACGTCCCTGTTTTCAAATTGAAAATCGTCAACTTGTCTAACCTAACAGGAATAAAAATATTCAAAAGATACTATTTCAAATTATTCGGAAACTTTTTGTTATTAATGGTAACGCCTATGAGTCTGGGAAACGTGTACTTGAAAACTTCTGCTCTTGCAAAACAAAGTCAGATTCAAAAAAAAAAAACCCCAGCAGTGCATGCATACTTACTTGGATGCTCATCCCTGTTTCAAATGTTAAACAAAAACCTTCGCCAATTAAAACGGTCTTTAAAAAAAAGCCCACTTTTTGGCTCTTCTGAACCGCCCTACGAGCTGTCTAGTGCGTTTCAACTTCGACTTCAAGATAATGCCAAAAGTTTTGCCGAACTACAGTGAACGAAAATGTCAATGCCCAGTCTAACGCAGAAACAGTACCAGTACCAAAAATTCGCTTATTCCATCAATAAACCATACCAATTCCGTAAAAGTACTGGCAGCAAACATTAAAATTATTTAATCAAACTACCAAAACTCATCGCCATACAGTAACTACTGCCCCCAATGAAATAAAAGAAAAATGGGTTAATTTAACTGGTTCTGTACTTAAAAATTGCGATGTTTAACATCTAGCCAAACAATACTAACACCAAATTATGATATTAGCTTCCAATGGAATGTAATGTTAAGTACAATACTTCTCCGAAAATACCAGTGAGAGTCTCTCAAAAATAATACATAATTATCTCACCACTTTCGACAAAGAATACAGCCTGTTATTACAATTCAAAAGACTTTTCTCCCGCGAATAGTTCATATTTCTAATCTGCTTCATCAAACTACCAAAATAACAAATTTAAAGCCAAATTAGAAAACAACGCAGTGAAAAGGCAGGAACAAATAGAAATGCTAAAAAAATGGATCTGTAGATCAAAAAAATGCCAGCAACAATGATTCAATTACAAATAACAATCATTTTCCCAAAAAAACTTTGAAAGATGTTAGGTGCAAATAAAAAGTTAAATTCTTCCACACTAACTCAATAAAAACACGGTACAATGACAAAACCAGTTTCTTATTGTATACTGTGTAAGAAAATATAACTCTAACGTATTCCAGCGACAAATGTTAAGTGGTCATCATCATGTAAAAATCTTTTAAGCTTCCACTACTCCTTTTTTCCTGAAAGCTCATTCAGATAATACAGCTATTACACAGCAATAAAATGGCAAAAAGTGACTGAAAGCAACTCTTGAAAATATTTGGCATCATAGAAGACAATAGGTGTCAAACCATATTCCTTCAGGTTTCACAAAACTCAAGGAGTAGATGATATTGTACGACGAATAAAGAGTAATTAATAATAAAGCTAAGATCTGCAGTTTGAAGCGGTAAAAGAACGATGAAAAATCTGTTTTAGGCAGACTCTTAAAGGTCATGTATCACAAATCCCTGAAAAAGAAAAAAGGCATAATTTCAAATCATTTGTTGTTATACATACTTTTATTTCTCAACTGCTTGAACTTTGATACTCTTTTCGGTTCATCAGTTTTCTCCTCACTTGGAATTGAACTAAATGTCCCAACATCTCTTTCTACAATAACTCCACTAAAAGCCTGAAAAGTCAAGTAATATTAGGAATTTTAAGTCAAAAAATTTTATTTAAGACGAGAATAAAAGCTATACGCTTTATACCTTCTTTGTAGTTGATACAATTTGACGAGGTTTTTCATAATCTACAGAAGACTTCTCTTCGTAAGCCGATAACGAAGGAATTTCGTCACTGTTCCGAAGTATTGAACGTAATTTCACTTCCTGAGCATCTTTCCCCTCCTGTAAATGATTAACTAACAACAACTTCTGGCTACCACAACGGTTCCTTCCTACGTAAAGTTTAATACATAATAACTTTAAATTAACAAAAAAATTTTGGAGAACGTTGGAAACAATAAACATACGTCTTTTTTTCCTTCAAAAGACATATTTTCGAACTGTTCATTAGAACTTGAGTGTCGAGACGGAATAACTCGACAAGACGGAGTTTTTTTGAATCTGACAGACTTTCCTTCTTTTTGAGGAGAAGTAACTCCAGCGTCTCCAGCAAGGAATGACTTCTGAGATGTTGGTGAAGGAGCCGGAGACAAAAGGTCGTCAGAGTCTAATTCGCTAAATACTAAGGTAACAATGATTAGAAAGGTTAACAAAAAGCTAAACAAAATAAAGACTTTAATCCTAAGAACTTAAGAGACAAAAAAGTACACATTTGCGGACCTATCATTATCAGAAGTACTCTCTACTTCTTGACCTATCGCAGATCCCAAGGTAGAATCCTCTACCTAAAAGGTGACATTTATTTTATATAAAAAAAAGACAATTAAAGACTAAGCTTCCCAACCAACAATTCTTTCTCTTAAAAGATTAGTTCTAAGAAGAAAGGCTCGTTCGAATGAAATATTACTTGAAGAGAGAATTGAATATGACATAACTACTTGGTATAAAATGTATTTCCCACAATTTGCAACCTGTTGCAAAAAAAGACAAGGTTCTGAAGCGTAATTCTTCAAAAATATCACCAGATTTGGTAGTCCTAAATAAATAAAAAAGGACCCACCATTCCAAGATTCCGTTCTTTTTCAAGTTCTTCTCTTTCTTGGCGTTCCAGTTCATCCAACCTTCTCATCATTGCCTAGAAAACAAAACCAAGAATGCCCATTTTTTAAAAAGCCTTTGGGAGGATCAATAGACTGTTTTTGTCAATTTTTAAACTCAACGGTGCTTTAATTCGAGGAGGAATATAGTAAAAACTGCGAATCAAAGCAAGAAAAAAAACAGATAATGCAAACTTCAAATTCATCAGTAGAGACAGCCTTTCGCGCCTCTTTAGCCTTCTTCGTTGCTCGCAGTTTCTCTAAAATTTACCAGTTACGGCTAAACAGGGAAATATTCAAAAATATTTAAGACACACCACTCCGTGCTCTCTCCACCTCTTCTTCATACGGCTCATTGATCTCAATACTTCCGTCATTCTAAAAAGTCAATCAGTAAATATAATGAGATTAACTAAAGTAATTTAGTCCTTCTTATATAAGAACTGAAGCTAATTAACAGAAGAACAAGCATCTATAAAAACGTTTGAAATTCGGCAGAAACCCACATTTTTGAATAGTTTATTGCCAAACTCACATCGTGATTCAGCCAATTTTTTTTGTTGCTCAAATTCCTTAATCGTCTTTCGAATAACTAGAAACGAAAAGTGACATCAAATCGAACTGTATGGCAAATGTTTACATGAGTACAATAATGTGAAGACAATGCCCAGAATAAAAAAATTTGTTACTTACATGATATCCTTCTATCAATTATTTTGCAAGCATAATAGCACGAAACTTCGGCAAAGATATTATCACCAAGTAAGACGGAAACCTTATTGGTATTCACGAGCCGCCCTTGCATATAGCCAACTTTACTGAACGGAACCTGCGAGGATTAAAAGTCACAAAATTACAAGCCCTAAATTCCTGGTTAAAACCTCCTATGCAAGAAAATTACCACGACATGTGAGGTTCAATAAACCTTTCAACCCATAACAATGACAGAAATGTACGCAGGATGTATTTTTGCGGCTTCGTGTTAACGAACAGTAAGGTAAGTATGAGTAGAGTGAGCAAAAAGTAATGGAAAGAAAACTTACCATTATTTCGTACGAAAGTTTTTTAGGCATGTCCTCAAGTCTGCTTTTGATGGCTTCATATTCTTTGATTTCATCATTTCTTCTGGCTATCTCTTTGTCACAATGCTGTACCGCCTTCAAAATTTCATAAAATTTACGGGAAAGAAGTATTAATATAGATTCAGAAAACACGCCGACATGATTATGTCAGAGGTTTTCTAATTTTTGCCTACGTAATGCTGACTGCTCGGTCAAGCAAGAATGGTACTAAAATAATTGTTATAATCAAAATCCTTATAAAATTCTTACATTTTTTACATGTTGAAACAAATGCTCCAAACGTTTCTGCGAATCTGATGGGAGCATAGAATAGTAGGAAATATCGTCAAAGTACTTATACTTAAACAAAAAATCCGTTCGCAATTGACGTATACATTAAAGTCAATGATAATATCGAGCAGCAAATTACGGGCCAACTGTAATATCACGACTAGACGACTGGCAGTAAAACATTTGTTCTAACGTATTTGATAAACTATAACCTAGTTTTTGATAAACTTATTTTATGGTAATATCTCATATCTCACAATACTGTAGAAAACTCATTTAGTCCCAGTTCAATTTAATAATCCTGAATAACATATACAGCACTTTCACAAGCTACCCATAAGGATCTAGGAACCATTTCCAAACGCTAACAAGTGCAACAGTTCACTTACACACCGTAATATAGAAAGTGAGTAGAACGGCAAATATCACAGACACAGTACATTCAAAAAACAATGAGTTTTCATAGTAGTAGCTAAGGGGTCTTCGTGTAGAACAAGTATGGGACCGCGAAATACAAGGTGGATTTTAAGTCGCAGAAGTAATTATAAGTATTTTCAACACGCAGCCAGTCCATTGACTGCAAAGATAAAATTGTTCTTTTTACATTAATTTGAGAAACCAGG